AACCACTCCATAACATTATCACAACGTTTCGGCCGTTGTACGCTCCGGCCTCCATCAGGTGGTGGAATATCGCTGGAGTAGACCGATCTAGTTCCACGTGCCATGTTTCATGGACGTCAGCTATCAATTATCTCTTGTTAATTCACCTCTCCATGTTCCCCACTGTCTTAACCTGTCACTGTATCACTGTGCCATGTGTCAAGGACACATGGCACAGTGCATAAAGTCGTTGGTTAAATCAAGTGACAGTGTGAGTTCAATACCTACTTAAGACAGTAGAGAACTTGGAGAAGTGAATTAACAGGAGATAACTGATAACTGACATCCATTTTATGATTTTTCTTTAATTTCATCCAGTTTAACTGGTAATTCCCGTACTACGTTTTACAGAATGTTTTTAATTCCCATTTCGCTTTTTAGAGCAGCTATGATTGTGTTCTCTCATGGTTCTGCATTTTTAGGTATTAATTTAGATAATACATCCGTATATCCTAATTTTTTTAGACGATTGGTAATCAATCGTAAAATTAGAATTTAACAGGTTGATGCCCCAGCGCTGTAATCTGTTTATGATCTATTTGCAACATGAAATTTCTTCCACGATTAAATGTATGGAAGTTCTTAATAGCAAATATGATTGCTAGAGCTCTTTCTCTATCTGGCTGTAATTTTTCTCTGCTGGTAGAAGCAAGCGTGACGCACAAGCGAAAGCTTTCATTTTACCACCATCGAATTTGTGTAAAATAAGCGCCTTGACACGGTAATCAATAGCATTTGACGCTACTCAAATTTTTGCTTTTGGATCGTAGTACTCTAACGATGAATCAGACGTAAGCCTTTTTTTATCTCGTCAAAGAGATTTCAGCATTTATGATCCCAATTTCTGTTTTTTAATAGACTGTTAAGGGAATCTGTCAACTTATCTATATTCGATAATAATTAGCCTGTTCTAAAAAAAGCTTCTAGTGTAGTTACGTTTGTTGACGTAGGCATATGTTTAGATGCCTTTACCTTAGACGGATCTGGTTTCCTACCTTTTTTATCAATAAGCTGACCCAGGTATTTTATTTTTGGCAAGTAAAATTTACATCCATCTTCACTAATCTTGAATCTGTATTCTCTTATTTTTTGCATGATTGTTTTGACATACCCAATATAGTCTTCTTCTGATTCACGTTTGCTCAAAATAGCGTCCAGATATGCCATTGTCAAATCACAATCCATCAGAGGAAATAGTAGTGGACCCAAGATGGAAAGGCTACAAAGTAAACTACGTTGGTAAACCATCCAGAAAGAGGAAGGGAAGATACTAATACGAAATAAAAAATATTATTTAATAAAGCAGGAATCTCAAAAACTGGGATGTTGTGGAATAAAAGTACATTCCCGGTGGCTCTATGAACTCGTCCAATATTATGAAAAGTTCCACGGTATGAAGTCGAAAGCAGTCGTCCAAGAGTTAATCTTACGACTTGAGATGCGTTACGTCAATAGCCTAAGCATCACATAGAGCATAATTAAACGAATTATTTATACTAAGTACGACTGTGTGTTACGACAATAATTATACAATCAGTCAGTTATGCGCCATGCGTGATACACGCTTAGGCGATCATGTATCTTTCAATACATGACTGACGAAGCAGATTTTTCCCGCAGTCGGCTGCCATTTCTTTCTGCGGTAGACCAGTTGCCATCCGATGATATGGAACCCGGTCTCTCTTGCTATTTATCCATAGATGGAGAGAGGATAACTGGATTCATACATTTCCCAAGGGTATTAGCACTTAAGTGAGTGTAAAAGATTCGACTGGAATTCGAACTCGGCTCTGCGATTCCTCAGTCCGAGGCGCTATCCATTACTCCACCATTTCTCCTATTTACAATAGGGAGTTATAATAGCTGGGGATGAGTTTACTCAAACTGAAGACGTTCATATGGATGACGTGAACACTGAACCAACCGTGTTCAGAAATGTGAAAATCATTGGCTGCATGTAATCGCTTTCTCAGGTTGATTGTTTAAAAATGGTTTCGGGCGAGTGAAGCGTGTAGACCTCAGCGAGGAGCATCCTTACTCGAAATTCGTTGACTGGCGTTAAAGAATCACGAAAAGTAACCGCTTCCGATAATAAAACCACGTCAGTTGAGCTTTTCAAAAACCTTAACATCATCATGAATTTTTATCAATGTTTTTTTTTTTTTTTGGCGGGAGCTGCACAGTCTTCAATTTCTAGTCTTGATAAAGTTCTAAAGTGTCTCCGAGTTATTGTTGGAGAAGAATTATTTTCCACTTTCTAACATTCCTCTCACAGGCGGCTTGTGGGGGAGTCTATCACTTCTTTATCAATACTACAATGGAAAGTGCTCGGACGAACTACATTCCTTGGTTTCATCATGTCTAAGATTCACGGCTAGGACCCGTCATGACACCTACATAAGTAGTAAATCACCCCAAATACCCACGTCTTCCATCAGCCATAAATATGTTCTGATCAAACAGCTTCTTCTCGCAAACAGACTGTCAACAAGATGTTTTCCCCGATTACTACAATCTTAACCTGTTCATGTATAGAGTTAAACGTTTTCTTATCCGCCTATTTATATAAATTACCCCTTAACGCAACACACTACTTCGAGTGGCCCTAGGCCTTTGTACAGGGTGCACCCTACTGTGAAAAAAAAAATTTCAATTTCAGATCAATGGTTATGATTTTGAAATATTTTTATTGAGTCCAACTTCTTGGAATACTTAGAAGATTGTTTTCAGGATCATTCTTTTCTCTATTATGATTGCAACAGAATAGCTCACATATAAATGCTAGGAAGCATGGACTCTGTTTTTTGCTCAGTTCCCATCTCTTCACAAATGCTTGTCTTGTGCTCAGCATAGTCTAGGGATCAAGGCTTTTATGTCATCATTTCCCCTTCACGTACTCCTGGTAAGGTTTGGTATATTCCTGTCTGAGCGACCTCACTCAATTTGTATGACATTGTGGACCAACATAGTTCTTCTATCCGATCTTGATATTCAGTGGATTTCGGGTCTTGGAAACCTGTTTCTAACGGAATGAGAAGTAAAAAAAAAAGTCTAGTGATGTTGTCACATGCTTATGCAATGTCTAGTAGCAGTTACACAATTGTCTATTGGAGGGGTAATTAATTCCTTACATATTAAACATCATCACACACCCTTAAGAGAGCAAAGGCCAAACTAGGTTTTATGTTTCTATTCATAGAACGCTGTCAGTCTACTTAATACAATATTCATTATAGTACGATTTCTCTATTGAGTGGTCGAGCAACATCCATGATCTGGCCTTTTTTTTTAATTAGCCATTAGTTCGTTGAGCTCCTCCGAGGACAACTCCATAGCCGACATCGCCAGAGTATTTTTGGTGATATGGTTTTGCTTATTTCTTATATGTAGTTACATATTTACCCATTAAGGAGAGTAAGTATATATTTTAGTTAGTTTATTTTTGCATATATCCGGCTTTGTTTTGTTTGTTTTGTTTTACGGTATATTAACCTCAATGGGCTATTTAATGCCGACAAGATTTTTATTGCCAGTAATATGTTTTTCTTCAAAAATCTATTTCTTTGAATATTTTTCCTTTGAAATTATTTTTTCAAAGAATGTATAGCTGTTTGTATTGGTAGTACATTTTTTAAAAAGTATTGCTGATAATAATTTTTCCATCAAAAATTGTTGCTGGTAATATTTTTTTTTATTACAAAGTATTTTTGGTATTAAAACATACTTTTACACAAGCTTGGGTTTCAATTATTTGCCCCTAGTTGGGACCCTAACAGGTACTACCACCCCGGGTCAGGGTGGACCTGGGAACGCCAGCAATTAAGAGATGGTTCCACGTTCCTCAAAACCTCCTTATCAGAGGCCCTAGTGTTGGACGTAGTTTAACGTATTAGCCAAGACGCTGATGTAGTTTATCGTCATACCCCGGACGGGTTTCCGGCTTTGTATTACATGAAATAATAAAAACTTTTATATTCATTAAGGACCTTTTTATTTTCTGTTTTAAGCTTTATTATGCTTTTGATATCACACCAATAGGTTTATCGAATAGTCTATATTTATTTTTTTCTCAGAAGACATCCGGTATTTTCAATGGTCTCGCACTGATCTTATCGTATGATGTCCGTATAAAGTGGTCGCAGTTTATTACCTTTATCATAATGGGTCTATTTGAGATACCTCTCTAAATGTGAGGGTTTTGGTCGTCATCCTTTGCTTTCTAAGGTGAATTAATGCGCGTTGCACTTTTTTTTTTATGATGAGCATCTGATTCTAAACTTCCTTCATGGGAAAAGGGTACGCTATTTTCAAATGTCCCGACTCAGTATCAAGTGATACTTTATTATTCATTTTTATAAATTTCTTCATAATAAGGCTTGTTATTGTTTATGTTTCGAGAGGCATTGTAGTAATTGGATGCATATTGGTGTATGTTTTAATATCGGTATTTTAAATCCGTCGCTTATGGGAAGGTGAAAGTAGAAAAAACTATATTGGCAACGATTAGTATTTGAACAGAAACTCAGCGCAGAGACAAAGAAATGATAACGAATTCTGACTAGTAACTGGCGTAATTTGACAGTTTCGGTAACACGCTCAGTCAGCTTCGAAAGAGAGAGCAAGGTAGAAAAGAAGGAAGAAAATACAGGCTTTAGTATTTTATGTATCTCTCTTCGAACACGTATTCAAATTTTGACTTCACTTCAATCAGATGGTTTCGACTGGAACGCATTTCTATACATTTTCTGTGAAGACGAACATTTATTTTTATTTTTGTCTGAGTTTACTTCCAGCTGTCTGTCTTCACGTCAGTTGATTTTGAGGGACATTAAGAAAAGTAAGTGTTTCATGTTGTCCACATTCATCTTTATTTTTGAACTCTATAATTTTATTCTTTAGAGGTAAATTCGTCTTCGTTGTTTTTGTTTATATTTCTGAACGGTATCGTGGGAACGCCAACACTATGACGCAATCCCAACTCCAGGAGTCGACACCCTCTGCATAAGCCCTTCAGTGAGGGCAGCGGATAGATCCTCCCCCTAAAAAAAAAGGACCAGAATATTATGCTGACTTTAAAGACCCATTTGAATATTTGATTTGTGGAAATTATGGAAGCAGTGAATACAAAATTTCCCTGTTAACCAGAGACACCAAAACGCGAAGGGTAATAGGTATCAACAGGGACGTAATGGAGAAGCCTCTAGACAGTCTCAATATTAGAGCTAAAGTATTGGCCCGACGGAGGACTTTCTACAATGCGCTATGGGACATTCTACTCCAGATGGAGAACGTTGCTATGTCGTTGGTTGGCAGTATACTGATGAAAAAAAAACCAAAAAAAAAACGGTAAGGCTCCAGACAACATATATGGGAGTTAGAAAAGTGAAGGTGACCCTACTTGGAGTACACATCTACATTTATGAAAACCACTTGGATTTTTTTCTTATCACAATTTAGAGAGGTTTCGAATGTTGCATTGATTAAAAGTAAGACGGGTATTGCCACTGGTTACGTTGAAGTCATGATAACCGTGAACTGGAAGAACACCATTAGCATATCTAACGTTTCTTTGCGGCGGACGCTCTATCTACATTGTAGTAGAAAGGTGTCGATCTCTCTGCTGAGCCCATGGGGCCGCGGGGCATCTTTCAAATGCATGCCTGGGGAAAAGGCCGGAAAAAACAAGCACTAGCAAGGAAACTACACAAGCAGGGACAATCCCCTAAATCTCCAAAGCTCCAGGAGAATGGATGGAGGTAGGGTGGTACATCAACAACCCTTACCCACCAGTAAGGTGTCCGAAATGAGATTAAAAATCCCAACGGCAACAAGCAGCTAGAACAAAGGAATCAGCAACAAATTGAACCCCAGCAGAAGCCGCAACTGGAAGAGGGATGTCTATAGGGACGGGGGAGCAACAAAAAATCGATCATCAACCAGAGCAGCAACAAAGTCTATAGATGGTACTGGAGGAGATGACCTTCTCGGTTCTTCTCTTTAAAAAGAAGGAAGGAAGATTAGGGAAAAGATTTTAAAAGCACCAAAAAGGAAAAACGAGCTGATCGAAATAGGGCGGAGAAGGCCCCTTAAAAAAAAAACAAGTCCCAATCTGTCCCTGCTTCCCCGGCCATAAAAAGAAGACCAAAATGAATAACAAGGTTCTTCAAGGAGCCTCCATCTTCCCCTTTTAAAGCTCTATTGTTTCCCCCTCCGAAGAACCCTCCTCAAAACACACCTCCTCCCAACACACCGCACCACAATAACCCTCCTCCAAGCACAACTCTCCTGACGCCGAGGCTCATGACACCCATCACCGCAGCACATTGCAAAAGAGAAAATCCTTCCCTAGTGGGGAAAAATCCTGCTAAATAGACTGGAAATCCCAGGAGTGGTACCTTTCTACCGAAAAATAAGGCCCTTTTAAGTCCACTGTTTAAAGTAGCATCCATCAACGCGAAATCAGTGGAAGATCCTAGGAATTTTCCCAAATCGCCAGCGGAAATCACCTTGATTAGAGATAGAGGGAAGGGCGTAAAAATGTGTTGGAGGGGGGATTTTAGTCTGTGTTTGTTTCAGATGACACTAACACATATGTAACGCTAGTCTCGACACCGAAATAGAATGACAATTGCGTATATATATATATATATATATATATATATATATATATATATATATATATATATATATATATATATGTATGTATGTATGTATGTATATTAATAAAATATATGGTGAAAAATCAGTTCTCAAAATTACATTTTCACGAATTAATCCAGGCCCTTTTTTTATGAGAATATTTCACCGATAAGTCTTTTCGATTCAACCATAAGAATATCTTAAAAAAAGAATTATCGATATCACGCATGCGCTTAACCCGATGCGAGATATCTACGGGCCAAAAATAACCGGTAGCGATAGTTCCAGATATGATGATAAACTACACCCAGAAGCAAGTCCTTTAATCGGGAGATCGAAAGTTTTGAGGAGCGTGGAAATTAAATATTAATTACTTTAGTTCCCAGGTCTAGCCTGATCAGGAGGTGGTATTACCTGTTAGGGTTCCAGCTATGGGCAAATAGTGAACTACAAACAAAAACAAAACACTATGAAATTATAAAAAAATACACTTTTATTGGAAAGATACGAACAACAGATGTTTATATAAAATGACCAACAAGACATATTTATACTAAAATTACCGGAAAAACGTATTTATGATAGAATTACCAACAATACATTTTATAACAAAATGGCCAACAATACACTTTATCTGTTGTTGAAGACATACAATTTTTGACGTATGGTGGCAGGTAATGAATAAGTATAACTCAAGACTTCAATGTTAAATGAAACAATATTTAATTACAACCGCATATAAATACTTAACACGTACAAAGAAGTAAAAGTCAACCAAAGATAATTAGCCATTTCAGTTGTTAGTAGCGCGCGCGAATTAACGTCGGATAAATCCTAAATCAAAATCCTCTACGCACAATAATTAATAGTAATTCGACTGGATAGTTCCATTCACTCGTCACTCGATAATCCATCAATAATCACTCAATTAACACTCTAATCTGTAGCTTGACACCGCTATTTATACACCATTGTGTAAATTAATTAAAACAATGACTTTAGTTTCCTTTCTTTTATCATACAGTCAGTTTTAGACCCACTCGATTAACAAGGTGTAATCGAATTATATTTTTTCCTCAGAATATATAATTTGCAATGGTTTGCAGTAACATGAATCTATGTTCAGGGTGTATCTTGAAAAAATATTGCGTCGTCCGTGATTGCATCAGAATTTCATTTGCCCCAGGCACTTGTATCGACTGTAGATTATAGCCATTGTCTGCGATGGACGTTACTCCAAGGAAGCGTGCGAAAATTGTAATGCTGCACAAACACACTAGCAAACCTCACCAGTGAGCAAATCGAAATACTATAGACTGGCAAGGAAATTCTCCTGATTTAAATCCAATCGAGAATCTTTGGTCAATCTGCAAGAAACGACTTCGTGGAATTGACATACTAACTTGTGCACTGAGTCATGTTTCATTGGAAAAATAAGAAAAAAAAAAGTGTAAATAATAACGGAAATATTCGTTTCGTTTCAATTAATTTGCACAAGTGTGTAGGTGATCATGGCCCTCCACATCTTCCTCTATAAGTAATTTGCACAAGGGTGTACCTCTGGCGGAAAACCCTATATTCCTAAGTCCAGAATGTCACGCGCGAACCTTGATGTAGGTAGTCATTCATTTTCTTCCTATATGACAACAATTGTGTTTAAAATATTTAGATTACGGAATTAAATAGCCACTAGAGGTTGATATGATGTTAAAGAAAATTAACAAATAAAAAAGAAGAAAAAAGAAAAAAAAAGAGAATAAGAAGCAATCAAAATTCGGACCTTATTAACATAAAAATAGAACATCAATCAATTATGTCTTCTCTTTTTGGTTAGTGGTCCCCTTGATATGATATGAACATTTAAATGTCAAATATAAGGTATAATGAATCGATCATCCTTGGCGATTGTACGAATATAAGTGATACATTTGAAATCTGGACACATACAAGCACAAACACAACTGCTCCAAGAAAAGGAAGATTTTTCCACCAGTCCAAGAAGATTGGATTACTTACACACACAAATAACAATGGCTAGCCATGAGAATAAAAAAAAAAAAACTTCCTTTAAATATGTGTAAATAACCATTCTTCGCCTGATGAAGATCACAAGACTTGAAATACGTGTAGCAAAAATTATGGTAAATAAAGTATACTATATATTAAATTCAGATTATAACCAAGGTCGTTAGTCATCGTGGCCGAGGGGTTGGACGTTCTGGCCTTGTTCAAATTGTTGATTACACTAGGTAACATGCTCTCTCCCAATAAAAATGTAACCAAAGACTTCTTAGCATAGTTGCAGTATGAACCACAGGTGGGCTCTGTGGGTGTTGTGCAAACACAAAATGTACCTGAGCAAGCGTCTGCAATAAGGATTGAGTAGATGGGTATCCTCGAATACGAATGGCCAGCTATACATGCATATATATGGGCACGGTGGAGTAAAGGATAGCGGCTTGGATTGAGGAATTACAGAGCCGAGTTCGAATTCCAGTCGAATCCACTTACGTGCTAATACTCTTGGGAAAGGTATGAATCCTCTTCCTCTCCCTCCAGCTATGGGTAAAATAGCAGGACAGACTGGGTTCTATAGCCTTGGATGGCAGCTAGTCTAGGAGAAGGACAACTCTGAATTCAAAACCTGCGGAGGGTCGTTTGGGAACCTTGTGGCATTCGGTGCACCAGGTTTCTGTATTCGTCCCTTCAAAAAGTGTGGATGGTCCTGCACGAGGCCTTCACCACTATAATCAAATCTCATGTGCCGGTGTCGGGTTGTCGGTTTCCTGGAAACTGATCTGCTTGACCCTCATACGTCGAATCTCGACGGGAGAGTCGATTATATATATATCAATAATAATGTAGGTCTCTATTATTATTTTTTTCTTTTACATCTTGGTGGATCAGATGGTGATTTTTGCTGTAAAGGAGGACGCAGGTTCGAAAATTACTGGATGATATATTTTCTTGTGTTTGGGAAAGGTAAAAAAGATAAGTACCGTTAAAAAACAAAATTAAATGCAAAGTCTACTCAAAAACGGTTATCCTACAGAAATAACATTTGAATCAATTAAAATATATGTGAAATTTAGAGTTGTACTACATATATATATATATATATATATATATATATATATATATATATATATATATATATATATAGTAGTACAACACTGAATCTCATATACGTGGCAATGGCCAGGTAAAATTGAAAATTAAGCCTTGTGAAATCTATTATTATTTTTAACATACTGAGTCAGTTCATTTACTTATGAAAAAAATCTAAAAAAAACGATGAAATACAGAAAACAAAGGATTATAAAAATAGATTTTGAAAACACAAAACACACACATATATATATATGTGTGTGTGTGTGTGTTTTCCTCTAACAAATGTAAACATGTAAACATAAATACTAAAGCATGCAGATTCATGTACAACATATATAAAAATGCTTTCAAGTCTTACTAATTAACCCATACCTGAGGGGAGAAGAAGTGGTTTTATTCCTTTTCCAAAGTGTAAATGCTTATAAGTGAATATAACGAACCAAACGGGAATTGGAACTCGGTTCTCCGATTAAGAATTCTCAACAATAAAGCATCCACACACCCCAGATTACTGCACCTGATATTCCAAAGCGGTCACCCATTTAAGTACTGACCAGGTTTAATAGTGCTTGACTACGGTAATCGTACAGGAGGCGGTACTGCAACGTGATCTGCCCATGGTGAACGGCTGTATTCAAAATGTGACTATTGTCTAGAACATCTGATGAGATTATATATTTATATATATATCTTGAGATATATATATATATATATATATATATATATATATATATATATATATATATATATATATATATATATATATATATATATATATATATATATATATATATATATATATATATATATATATATATATATATATATATATATATATATATATATATATATATATATATCGAATATAACAGCAAAATTGTCTAAATGACGTATCAGCTAAATATCCATTCCAAAATATATATATATATATATATATATATATATATATATATATATATATATATATATATAACACGAAAGTAATTGTTTGATACCCAGATCTAAATCCATTTTACTGCTACCTATGGAACATTATTGGGAGATTGGTCAATGAAAATCTCCATGATACCAAAGATTCTTTGAAAGCTGCCAGTCAGAGTAATATTCAATATAAACCAAGGCCATTTAATTCTATAATATAGAAGATTTCGATCTCGCATAGAAGCTGTTATTGAAGCTGAAACTGACTTTATTTTATAAAATTATTAAAAAAATAAAATAATGTGTATTTATGCTCATTAGATATTTTATTTTATTTTTAATAAAAAATTTATTATTTGCTATTAGATATCTGTTTTTCCCTAAACACAAATATGCTCTCAAGTACCTTAAACATCCTAAAACTCGGTTCTACGTGTAAATGCAGCCAGATATACTCGTAATGCGTCAAGAGTAAAAATGGAAAAGAAATTATGGGCAAAACATTCTGATTCATCACCACTAGATGATACCACTTCAAGTTGATTGGAAGGATTGAGAAATTAGCCTAATTTAACACAATGTTAGCAAGTTGCCAATAATCATAAAGACCAAACGTGTGAGAGTCTACACGGTGTCACACTATATCAGTTAACAGCCATTTAATCTCATTGAGGATTATTTCTTACGGGCACAAAGGGGCGTCTATCATGATTTGAATTATCACGCTGTTATACACGGGAGAATGGTTCCTATAACTTATAGAAGCTGAACAGGCAGATTTGAAGCAAGGAGAGTATTTAAGTCTCACTATCACTTTCTTGATATTTAACCCAATGTAAAACACAATGTCTACTCAAGGTAGAGATATACTGATTGAAATTGTAAGGGAGTAGGAGAAACAATTAGTAAGAGAGTATTATTAAGAGGATATCGCTTGAGGCTGGACTTAAAGAAACCAATAATATAGTTGTTAAGTTAGTTTGTTCTACTAAGTAACAATTTCTTAAGAGGAAGTTGTATGGGTACGACTCGCTTTATATCTTACATATAAGAATGAAATGAGGATGCTTTACTGTAAAGGTCCGGACTACTCACCCTGCGGAATGTAACTCTTTCGGACATCTGCTATAATAATAGCGATGTAATAGTTAAAGGCTGGCGACGCTCGTCTATGGGATAAATGTTGATGGATGAATTCAATACCCATAAGGACGCGTAAGTGCTTTTTTATCTTTGTCCAAACCGGATAGTGTGGATTGACCAGAATCAAGCGAGATATAGCAGCAATACTTTATTCTTACTCAAACCTGACTCTTCTAATAATAGAGCCTGGCAGTAGGAGTTATGTATTTTCTGGAAACATACAATTAACTGACCATTCTTCCAGCATCATTTGCGATGGCATGAATATTCCAGTAGGCGCTTGAGGCAAAGTGGCCTATTTGGAGGTATGACCCCTCATCAAGATTGATACAGGTTTAGGGTCTACTTGGTTGTGAGGAAATGCTAAGAGGTTAGATTTGGATGTATCGAATGATATAAGCCAATCTTTTCCCCATTGAGAAGTTAGAATAAGATACCAGCTGACAGGTTCGGTTTATCAAGATATTTGAAGGTGCGTCCATACACAGTAGTATCATCTGCATAAAATCTTGACATATAAAACAGAGGATGTCTGAGTAATAACTTTTCTCTCGAGATCCATCTAACCGATTTTGACCAAATTTGGCATATACATAATACAATGTAAGAGATAGGTTCTTAGCATAAAAAATCGATATTTTTCTTAAAAATTGATAAAGCTGATCAAAATCGAAAATTTCAACTTTTTTCCTCCGATTTCGTTCGAACTCGGTATGTAGGTTACTTATATCATGACAAGCTCAATGATACTTCATTTTTATTTCTACGCCACTGATCTTAGCAAAAAAAAGTGAGAAACAAAAATCCATTTCAGCACAAAGCGATTTCAACACAAATTTTAAACTCCCTCTGTTGTCAAGCAATCTAATGAAAACTTCACCCATTCTTAACCAAGAAGAAGTTGATTGTTTAACACTCCTTTAGCATGATAATTGAGTCCACTCATATAGTGAAAAGCCTCGCAAATAGCGAAAAGTGGCGATTTCTATTGATTTCTTTCTTATTTTTCGTTGATCTTTCAAACAAGTTTAAAAACTTTTAATATATATATATATATATATATATATATATATATATATATATATATATATATATACACTTTTATATCCATGGTAGCACACTGACAAAACTCCAAAATAATTGTGGTCTGAAGTGGGTCTTCATCTTACCGGTTTTACCCCCATCATAACTTCGATTGAATAAATACAGAATACTTTTATTATACAGTAACTGCATTAATTGAAAATATATATTTTTTAATGAACGTATATTGAAGTCATCGAAGAAGATAGACTCTGTGACATCTGAACATGATGTTGTTTTTGCTTTATTCTAATTGAATGCTTTTTTTGATCGACCAGTTGGGTATGGCTGCTAGTAATCACTAAGTAAAAGAGGGTTCTTGGTAAGATTGTTGACATATATCGGAAGGAGGGTAGAAAGAGGCTGGGAGCTTTGGGAAACGTCAGTATTGGTCTCATGTGAAAAGACTTGATAGCTGAGAAGCTTCTCCCAGTGGTTCCATAGCTGGCCAGTTTGTGTAGCAATCCCCTTTGCCACACTTTAACAAAGAACATCGAGGTATCTAGGGCGATCTCACTCGAGATATCTTTTTGTATTATCAAGGGCTTCACTGATTCTATACGTGATAATAGTTAAGACATCAGCGGAGGTGTTCATAATTTTCGTTCGGTGAGATTATATATTTTTTCTAATCAAGAATATATCATGTTTTTAGTTTCCGAGCACGTTAGAACCAGTGTTATCTGCAAAGATAACACAAATAAAATACGAAGCCATTGACGAAGCCAACCAAATTGTCTGCGACATTTTCTAAAACTTGTTGAATATTTGAATATTTTTACACAGACACAGAAACAAACAGATCACCTTTATTCCACACATACACAGATAAGCATAAACACACACACAAACTCGCACACACACACACAAACGCACACACACACATAGATAGATAGATAGATAGATAGAAACAGACATAGATAGATAGATAGATAGATAGATAGATAGATAGATAGATAGATAGAAACATACATAGATAGATAGATAGATAGATAGATAGATAGATAGAAACAGACATAGATAGATAGATAGATAGATAGATAGAAACAGACATAGATAGATAGATAGATAGATAGATAGATAGAAACAGACATAGATAGATAGATAGATAGATAGATAGATAGATAGATAGAAACAGACATAGATAGATAGGTAGATAAATAGATAGATAGATAGATAGATAGATAGATAGATAGATAGATAGATAATGACCTTTTCCAATTACGTAAGGACTTGTAAAGAAATATTAATCCAGATTTGCTTTTACGTCATTGCAAATGAATAAATCATAGATTTGACACAAAACAATGCTAATCTATTGGTTGAATATCTTCCAAATTAGATTAAATTATTAAAAATTTATGTTATATTTTCTATGTGAAAGTTTGGAAAAGAATGGCGAAAAACATTCAGTGTTAGAGTAAGTTACGTATTTCCTTTCAAACTATATTTCTAAAACAAGCGCTAGTACGAATCTAAATATGTAAATTAATCTGCACCTATTTGGGAAGTCTGTAATAATATGTTTGGCGTTGCTAATTGAAATATATTCTCCCAAAAAAGAACCAGGAGCGTTGAAAATCATATTAGCCAGGGACGTTGAAAATGATCTTTACTGAAGACCCCAATGAATTCATCCCATCATGTTGTCCTTCTGCTTCGGTTGGGATCATAACCCAGAGCCTTAGGCGTCGATAAAAGGGGAAGTGCCGAGGGCCATTGAGTAATTTTCTGCAGCTTTCCCGATAGCCCTCATTAAGTCTTCGACCTTGTATCACATTCTGTTGGGACGTGAGCGTTCGGATAAATACCAACATCCCAGTGACATCTTCGCTTTTGTCCAAAAGTGCAGTAAAGATGAGAGAAGGCTTCTAATCCTACGATATCACCTTTGCCATTGAATTAAGAGAGGCAGGGGTCGGTGAAATATCAACACAATCATGACAATGGTCACGAAAACTGGGAAAAAAGTTTTACCGTTGGCCGATATACATACGTATGGGTAAGGGCTCCCCATGTTAAAAAAAATCGACTTGTGTCACATCATCCCTTAGTGGTGAGGCTGTGTAAATACTTCTGGGGCCAATAAGAGAGCATTCATTTAAAAGAAAAATACAAGGAAAAGATAAAAATGAAAAAGGAAACAAAGAAAGGAAATGTAGATGTCGATTAAAAGTAAACATGGCTGTAATGATGTGTCACCTGAAAAGAAACATGACTTCAAAGCCAGAGCTGATAAAGGAAAAATGCGTGCTTCCATCAAGAGATCTTTCAATGGAATTGAGACAGGAATTCCAACAAGAGACCTCAATCATATAATGAAATATTCTCCTGTATTCAATCTATCAACTGAAAGAAAATATGTCTCTAAAATGTGAGCTGCCAATTGAAACAATGAATCAGACTTAAAAATATACATCGAGGAAAATGCAAATATGTAGTTCATATGTGCATATATATGTGCATATATTTAGTGCATGAAAACATATTGCTTGTTCCCGGTAAACTGTGTAGAAAATTTCAACAGATTATGTATATAATTAATGTTGGCCTAATATCCTCATCTTTGATGTTTATATCAAAACAGTTCGGTCGTTCTGTGCATGTCGATTCTGGTAATCTTTAGGAAATTTCCAACTGAACCCATTATTTAATCTTCAGGATCATTTTCCATGTGTTTAAAGCGATCTTGGAGAGCATTCAAAAGATCCTGCTTCATCAATATCCAGAGGTTACCTACGCGTGCGAAGAGAGTTCTGCTGGGTTACATCTAGCACAGTACAGGACACAGCCAATAATTTTGTGTATTCCATCCCTTGCTGTTAAGCAAGGGATACCTAGGTGAAGCCAATCGACACTTAAACGTAAGGCTGGAGTAACATAAAAGCTTATATTAGGGGTGAAAGGAGAAAATTTGGAATGGATGGTCATATCTGGACTAAAACAAGTATTCAAAATCTCATTTGAAAACAAAAATACTAGATCGCGATGAACGTTAGAATATCAGAAGTCTGACGATATGAACACATATGGGGTCCCATCATAAATTGTCAGAGGTCTGTCTGTATCAACACATATGAGGCCTCATCACAAATTATCAGAAGTCTGACTAACGCACATGTGGTCGCATCATAAATTGCCAGAAGTCTGACTGTATCAACACATATGAGGACCCATCGTAAATTATCAGGTCTCGCTGTATCAACGCATATGATGTTCCATCATAAATTATCAGAAGTCAGATTATATCAACGTATATGAGGTCCCATCGCTTAATTAAACGGTTCAGATTTAATCTGGGATTGAACCTGAATTCTGTCGCGCATTCACACTAAGTTATAAGTTTCATGCTTATGTCACATGTTTACAGCATTGCTTTGTAGGAATGTGTGTGAACTGTGCCAAGTTTTAACGTCTCACTACATCACAGAGGTTCAATCAGTGACTATGACTTGTGATGCAATTTTAGCACAATATTCTCCAAGTTCAACCTTACCTACATACACCAGATCTCGCTTCTGGCGAAGTTTTTCTCTTCAAAAATCAAATCCCGCTGTCGTCGAGGCAATCGCTATCCAAAACAAAGGTGCTCCCGTAAGGCTTCTATCAATGGAAACCACGTTGGATAAAGTGTGTAGAGGGAGGGTACTACTTTTGGTCAGACCTCGTATACATGACAGCAATCTCGTTAGGCTTAACATAGACATAAAAATCATAAGTGAACCAATACTCTAGAAAGAAAGAATCTAAAGCACCAAAAAAAAAAATAAATTCTTGCACTCAGACAAGACAATGATGATGCAGTTGGAATGAAAGGTAATAAAAAAGAAAGGCAGTGCTAAGAATCACAGCATGTCTGCAGACGCAACAGACGAGCCAAGAAAAAAAAAACATTGAGTTTAAATTCAAACATCATGGTTATCCCAGATAGAGGATTAAATCGCTGCTTAGATAATTTGTAGGTGTAGTAATTATGGGTTTAATACCTGGATCGTGTAGCGGGAATGTAGGCGGATACAGTAGAAAGAGGACTGAATAAACTGACAGGACTGAATAATCGTAAAAGAAACATTATCCAAAACATTATCCTAGGCTTCATAAAAGACTTCATTCCAGAATTCCTTGAATATTACCTGGATTCGCGGAACAGTTAAAGATGAAGTTCACAGCAGTCGAAACGTTCTCATAAGAAAAACGAAGATTAGGTCAACAGACCGCCGGTAATGAAAATGACATTTTAAAAAATAATGATGAATATCTGTCTATATTTCTGAGATGAGATATTATGTACATTATTGTCCTCATCTTTGTCGACATATGTATTACGTTTCGGCCGTTGTACGGTCTTCTTCAGGTGGTTGGAATGTCGAACTTAATCCTTTATTTCACTCACTGGGCTAGACTGTGCCATGTATCCTCAAGGACACATGGCACAGTCTACCTTAGTTTAGTCTTGGTTAGATCCAGTGACAGGACCCAAAGAGTATGTGTTCAATACCCGGTTAAGGCAGTGGAGAACTTTCAGAGGGAAATTAACAGAAGATAACTGATAACTGGCATCCATTAAACATAGCACGTGGAACTATAACAGTCCATTGAGCGAAATAAATTCCAACCACCTGAAGAAGGCTGGGTTGTACAACGGCCGAAAACGTTGTAATAAATATGCCGACAAAGATGACAATAGTCCGAATAATGTAAATTATGATCAAATACCTGTTCCCATACGATCATGAAATTAAGCAACGTGGAGCCTGATTAGTAGATACATAGCTGTGTGACTGTTTGGAAAATCATATGCTGTAAGCTTGGATGTGCGGGTGATGTAATGGATAAAGCCTTGGAATTTGTAATCTAACAGCCGAGTTCTAATTTCTGTTGGATTCGTTTTATTCATTTAAGCCCCAAAACGCCTGGGAAAGTTATAACGCCAACTTTTCTTCACCCCGTTATGGGGTAATTAGTAAGACATTTATCACTTAAACATTATTATCTCAAAATAATTTTTAAAATCTCAAAATACTTTTTGGTTTTTACTGATTTTCAAGGAAGTTGAGAGTACGTAAAAAATGAATGAATAAATAGAAGTTATAATAAGTCCTCATCCGAGAAATTCAGATAGAAATTATATTAAATGCTTTAAACATGTCTGTCAAAGATGAAGTTTATATTCAAATCAATGTTATTTACTTGTGCTAATATCGGGTTGTTCGGAAAGTTGATGATTCTTAAGGGAAATTTTAAAGAAATAAAAATTATGATATTAAATATTTATAGAACTAAATATGAACTAATTTTGTGGCACAATCTTAAATGTTCAATTATCCCTGAATTTTGGTGGCTTCTCGGCAAATAATTCATTAAGGTGGTTATTGTGTCATTCAAAAAATTACCATTGAGATTATTTCCAAGGACCTGAATAAATAAAAATCCGAAGAAGCAATGTTTGGTGAAAATGCCGGTTGGGGGGGGGTGATGACACATCCAAGCTAAGCTGCAACAATTTTTGCCGGGTCGCCAAAGAAACGTAAGGTTTGGCATTATGCTAATGGAAATCAACACCTTCCTTGTTCTCCAATTCTGGAGGTTTTTTCTTGAATTGCTGTCTTCAATTCGTCCAGTTGCAAGTAGTACTTCCATGAATCAATTAACTGGTTATTTGGCAGAATCTCATTGTAGAGGATTCCATTCCAGTTCCAACAGATTCGCAGCATGGCATTCTTAGGATGAAGACCTACATTTGAGTTGGCTAAAGATGGCTCATGTCCCTTACGCCAGAATCTTTTTCACTGAACATTGTTATAAACGTTTCATTTCTCGTCACCCGTCACAATATGTTTCAAAAGGGCGCATTTCATTGCGCTTATACGAAAAAATCACAGATGAAATACGACTCAAAAGATTCATTTCACTCAGTTATGTAACGATTTGAGTATCCAAGCTTCCGTAATTGCTCATGGATGATGGATTTTTATAAAATTAATGTTTCTGTCAATTCCCGCGATGTGTAAGAAATATAGTCTTAAGGTATGCTATATTTATGGAATAAAGTGCTCAATATCAGAGATAGAGCGTGTAAATATAAAAGTGAACATAGAAGTCAACATTTAGAGGCGACAGTCTGTTTCATGCTATATGCAATCGTCAGGCCACATATGCTGTTATTTTTCTCGATTATTTATATATATACGGGTTAGTGGTGCATTGTGGTTATATATATTTGTTTCTTGCCGGGCATTTTTGTCTTTACGGTAAAAAAAAAGTATCAAATGTCTAATATGTACCTTATAATCCCCCACTTTCACAGGAACGCAACATTGACACGAATGAGGTAATATTAAACTTTTTTTCTTAAGAGATAGTTCGAAGTATGCATTAAATGGAAATGTAAGCATATTGTATCTGACGATAGATTTGACGTGTTTGAACATGAACGACTAAAAATCGACATGGACTTTCCAGACAACGCAACATTTAAATACAACTGGTTTTATTAATAGTTTCAGTATGCTTTCAATACAATATACACAAAAATCTGTTCTCTTTCTTAAGATTACATGCATCAATCAATTTATAAGCAAAGTATAACAACAAATTTAAACTCATAGTTATTTTAACTGGCCTCATGCCAAGCTTGACAATGGGTGTAAAAGTTCTGTTGCTGTTAACTGCGTTTTGGAACCTCGTCCAAGAATAAATTTCCCCGATTGCTACAATATAAATATGGTGTTATTAACCGTTATTTTTCACTCATTCTTGAATATGCTGTGCTACTTACTCTCTAACCTTCTATCTTGAGTGACCCTCGGGGCTTTTACAGGGTGAACATCCTTGTAAAAGAAAATATAGAAATGAAACAGTAGTTTTCCTGCAGTATTTTTCCTCCAGTGATATAGTTTTCCGGGCCAAGGGATTGAATTCACAATTGCGACGTCACCAAATTGAAAAACCAATGCTTTAATCTATGTTATTGGTCCGAATGTAAAGCCTGAAGCCTTATGCCTACATTGCCTGCAGATGAGTCTTGTTGCTATCCCTAGACACCATTACTAGGTCACCGGTAGGAGAACAATCTGTCTCCAGGTTAATTAAAGCGTTCAGTTTGGCATTCCTTAAAAGAAAAGACAAGAACTGATGAAGGCCGGCAGTTACAATGGTTGAAACGTTGCGATAGTAAAAACACTGATGAGGATATAAAACCGGATCAAATAACGCAACTAATGGCAACTCCTCTTACTAAAAATTCGGAAAATAAAATTCCGTATGCAAATATTTATATAAAATTTTCTCTAATCAAAATCGGGAGGGAATAAAAGAGACCATAAAAGTTAAACAATGAATGGTTTGGAATACCGACATCAGAATAAATAAATAAAAAAATAGATGGGAACAGATGCAATGCTTGTGACAGCTGTCGGAAAACGAGTGTTTGTAATGAAGTTTTATATACAGAAAAAGCAAGCAAGGATTAGCAGTAGCCTCTAAAATCAGTAAAATGAAAAAAGGTCGCAATTTTCTACAGAGAATCAATCATGGTGCGCGGATGAAAATGAAATTCAATGTTGGATCACGAATTTCCAATGACCGAGGTGATATACCCTGACATATTCTACGCTTGATGCCTGAGGCAAATATATAAATTTGACAGACTGACTAAAAATAAATATATTAGTTTATAGTTTTGAATACAAGATGAAAGACGAGGTGAGATGGCTATCAATAGTAAAAAATAAAAATGATTTTTTTTTACGGGTTATGGATTATTTAATGCCGAAACATATTTTGAATTGTAGGAATAATTCTTTTATGAGAGTAAATATTATAATAACAATTCTTTTGATAAAAAAAAAAAACAATGCATTTTCCTCATGCAAATCTTTATACTTAATCCATAGCTGAGGGAGCAGATGCATTGGAAACTTTCTCAACAGATTTTGCGCTTATGTGAATGTAACGAATCCGACTGGAATTCGAACTCGGTTATCCAATTTCTCTTTTCGAGTTCTCTATCCATTACACTACCCGAAAATTCACATCTCAATTATCAATGAACATTGATTCTTTAGATATGATTCTTTTTCCACTCGTAGAAAAGCGGATTGTAAAGATGCTTTCCAAAACCTAAGCAAAGAATGAAAGAATGTGTGCTGAACTGTTATGTAATCTGTATATGGCAGTGGGGTTTTAACACGACTAGAACATATTGAAGGCAAGGAAGAGGGAGAAATGGAGGGGGGAAATAGCGAGCAACCTAACAAGCTTATTTAAGTGGATGGTAGATACGGAATCTGATGGATAATAGACAATAGTAAAGATTGCTTGTAGCTATAAAGTTGTAGAGAGATATTATCGCCCAATTTTTGTAGGGTCACGGCAAAAAAAAAGAAGGTGACGAAAATTTTCTCACCGTGTGTTTTGTTAACAATATTTATAACAAGAAAAAATGTTAATGACAGCTAACAGTTCAAACCTCAGTCGAACTGAAAGTTAATTCTGGGAAATTGAATAAACAGTTATATAAATAAACAGACGCAAACAAATTACATGTAAGCGCAGAAAACATTCTTTCTGCTTACAGAGGGAAGGCTGTTTGGAATTAATATAAAGAGTCTTATGTCTGAGTGTGCTTGAGACCTTTCATATATCTCCGCATTTCTTCCAATATAAGCAGATGGATGTCTATTTTTTTCTGCTTTTAATATTACTGATTCACTGGTAGTATATTTTCTTTCAAATTTTTTTAATTTTTATGCACTAAGTATATATTTTGACCTGGATTTAGTTCTGAAGAGAGAGAAGGGCAAACCACTTAGCCCATTTTTTTCTATATATTTTTCTATTTATTATATTACGGTGAATAATATTTTTTGTTATCTTTGTTCTTCCTACTGGTT